AAAAAAAAAAAAAGGCTAGTCCTATAGGATTAGTGCCTCACTCCTATGAGCTCATTTAATTACCTTACTAAAGGCCCTGTCTCTAAATACAGTCACATTAAGGGTTAAGGTTTCAATGTATTAGAGGGAACACAATTCAGTCCATAACAGAGGCACTTGTCAGACCGATGTGCAGAGATCCCAAGCAGAGCACAGTCATTTTACTAAGCTAAGGAGGCAGACTGGAGTTCAACAAAGTGGCTAGAATTTTAGGAAAGAAACCACAGAGGTGGGAGCTGTGTGAAGAAAGACCTCCAGAAGTCTCCATAGGCGATCTCTTGAGTGTATTGCTGAAACCCCATGAGGCTGTGAAAGAACAGGGGACTGTAGGAAGCACAATTCGCAGAGCTCGGAAAGGCTGAGAATCAGTCATGTTCTGAGCTGCTAGAATGGAGAGTTCTCCATGTAGGGTATCCAGTCGAGACTGCAGAAGGGTTATACCTTGACAGTAGGGCTAAACCAGCCCAGAGTGAAGACTGCCCTCAACTCACACCTATAAGCTTAATAACAAGCCCTGAAAGGCTCAACATGATCCAAAATTAACCTAGTTGCCTCACAGAAGACTCATGACGCACCCCGTAAAGGAACAGTAAAATTTAACACTCCCCAATATAGAGTTTGTGATGCTGATTTAACAAAAAATCACTGCACATGGAAAGACACAGAAAAATGTGAGTCATAGCCAGGAGAAAAACTGATAAAGTGAAACTACCCAGAAATGACTAAAATGATGGACTTAGCAGACAAAGATTTTAATACAGTTTTTATGCCTATGTTCAAATATTTAAAAACATGAATACAGTGATGAGAGAAATTGGATGTGTAAAAAATAGAATTTGTAGCAGTGAAACAATGCAATATCTTACATGAATAATTCACTGGAAGAGCTTATAAGAAGATTAGATATTGATGAAAAGATCAGTGAATTTGACATAGCAAATGAAACTAGACTGAAGGAAGAGACAAAAGACTGAACAGAAGAACATCCGTGACCGGTGGGACAGTATTATGAGAGAATTTTTGGGTAACCAAAGCCTTAGAGGGGGCAGGGAGAAGAAAACATGTGAAATAATGGTGAAAAATTGTTCCAAAAAGTTTGTTTGTTTGAAATATAATTCACATGCCACACAATCCACTCACTTAAACTTATATGATTTGATGTCATTTAGTATATTTACAGGCTTGTGCAACTATCATTGCAACTTAATTTTAGATCATTTTTGTCCTCCCTAAAAGCCCTCCTCCAATCACAGAGTATTTTCATCACCTCCAAGAGAACCTGCAAAACAATGATAATTAGAACTGTCTGGAGTAGGCATCTTTGAATGTTCCTGATCTTGGTGGAAAGCGTCTAGTCTTTCACCTTTAAGTCTGATGCTAGCTGTGAAGTGTCCAGAGATGTCCTCTATCAAGGTGAGGAAGTGCCCTGTTTTTTCTGCAGTTATTAATATGATCATATTTTCTCCTCTTTATTCTATGTTATTTTCTGTTACATTAATTGATTTTCAGATGTTAAGCCAGCCTTATATACTTGGAATACATTTCACATGTATCATCTTTTTTATATGTTGCTGGATTTGATATGCTAGCATTGGTTGAGAATTTTTACATCTCTGTTCACAAGCAGCATAGATCCTTAGTTTCTTTTCATATGCATTTTTTTTGTCCACTTGGCTATCAGGGTAATACTGGCCTTGTAAAATGTGTTAGGAAGTATCTATTCCTCTTCTGTTTTCTGGAACAACTTGTGTCGAATTCATATTATTAATTCTCTGAATGTTTGGTAAAAATACACCAATGCTGCTTCCTTTTTTGGGCCTGAGCTTTGTGAAATTTAAAAATTATTTATTTGATCTCTTTACTTATTATAAACCAAGTCACTTTTTCCATCCCTTTAAAAAAAAATTTTTTTTAATGTTTACTTACTTTTGAGAGAGAGAGGGAAACAGAGTGCAAGTGGGGGAGGTGCAGACAGAGAGGGAGACAGAATCCGAAGCAGGCTCCAGGCCCCACACTGTCAGCACAGAGCCTGATGCAGGTCTCAAACTCATGAACTGCAAGATCATGACCTGAGCCAGTCAGACACTTAACCGACTGAGCTACCCAGGCACCCCCTTGTTATGTCAGTTTCAGGATTTTGTGTATTCCTGGCAATTTATCCATTTTGTTTAAACTACCTGATGTGTTATTATGCAGTTGTTTATATAGTTTTCTGTGATAATCCTTTTTATTTCTGTAAGTTTGGTAAATGTTGTCTCTTTTATTTGTTTGAAGTAATTTGAGTCTTCCGTTGGCTAGTCTAGCTAAAGTTTTGTCAATTTGGTTGGTCTTTTCAAGGAACCAAATTTTGGTTTCATTGATTTTTTTTCTTTTTCTACTGCGTTTCTACCTTCTGGAAGCCAGTAATAAAGAGAAATGTCTTTAAAGCAGCCAATGTAAAACAAGACACATTGCTTATAGAGGAAGAGGAAACCCTGCAATACAGAAGATAATGGGAATAACACTACACTTACAATGGATGCATTGCTTCTTTTTAAAAGTTGATTAAACAAACACAAAAAGCACATTTCCTTTGAGACTGAGGTTGTCAGTTTGATGTCTGCATGAGACAGTATGCTTTCCCATGCAAAAACCCTTCTTCTGTCCCTGAATCCCTAGACAACCACTGTGTCCCAGAGTTCTTCATAGTAGAGGTGGCGATTTTTCTTTCCAGTACAAAGGGAAAGAACGGAACTAACAGGTCCTGCTGATACTACCCACATATGTTCCACAGTGTAGGAACCAGAGTGTGCTGATCTTGATGCTTGTAGGGAAATATTTTTTCTCCCTTATTTTAGCCCTAATCCAATCATTATCAGCCTTGGCTGTTCTTTAGAATCAGCTGGGGAGCATTAAAAAAATACCGATACCCATCCTCATATCAGACGAATTTAAATTTAGAATCTAGTGGTGGAACCAGGCCCTTTAATTTTGTTCGTGTGTGTGTGTATAAATATAAAAAATAAGTGTATATAAAATATGTATGTATAAATATTTGTATGTTTTTTGTTTTGTTTTTAATTTTTAAAACATTTTTATTTGTTTTTGAGAGAGAAAGAGATAGAGCGTGACCAGGTGAGGGGCAGAGAGAGAGGGAGACACAGAATCTGAAGCAGGCTCCAGGCTCTGAGCTGTCAGCACAGAGCCCGATGTGGGGCTCGAACTCACAAACCATGAGATCATGACCTGAGGAGAAGTTGGACACTTAACTCATTAACTGACTGAGGCACCCAGGTGCCCCTCTTTTTTGTTTTTTGGGGTTGTGTGGGTGTTTACTTATCACATGGAACTTTTAAAATATATAGCAAAGTGGAAAGAATAGTGATCTTCGAACAGGTGGTACATTAAAGAAGAGTAAGTTTATGTATTTTTTTAATGGATAAAGGCGGGCATCCTGTTGCTGTGGCATTTAGAGTCCATCGATCTTGTTTTAGAAAGTAATGTTTTACTTCAAAATGTCAAGGTTTACAGTACATGAGAAATGACATTCTTCACAACCGCTTAAACTTATTATGAATCCTCATAGATATCAGATGAAAATTGTGCAGGGGAGAACATGTGTTAAGAACATTTTTTAAGGGCACAAGAAGGGAAGAGTTTGAAGGTCACCAGTCTGCATGGATTGCTTTCTTCCTTCTTGAGAGCCATACACTAGGATATAGTTTATTTCAAACCTTGTCCTCATAGTTCAGTGAAGCAGAAATGGACCCATGCTTTACAACTGCATCAGTTTTAGGATTGATGAACAATAAGCACTGTGGAAACGTAAATGTGTGCTTATGGAATTGTGTGACTGTGTTGGACCTGGCACTTTCTATATATAATCTGTGGGCAGCGGAGAAACACATATGTCTGTGTGGCACAAGTAACTTTTACTATTGTTAATATTTATTGATCTAGCTTATTTTAATAGTAATAATGAAAGCATTCTCTTCTAAAATCAGCTTTCACTTCCTATCAGTACTTTAAATTATCTTGTGGGGCGCCTGAGTGGCTCAGTCAGTTAAGCATCTGACTCTTGATTTCGGCTTAGGTCATGATCGCACGGTTTGTGAGCTCAAGCCCCATGTCAGGCTCTGCCCTGAAAGCATGGAGCCTGCTTGGGATTCTCTCTCTCTCTCTCTCTCTCTCTCAATCTCTCTCTCTCTCTCTCTGCTCCCCTCCCTCCCACTTTCTCTCTTTCTCTCAAAATAAATAAATAAAACATTTTACAAAATCTTGAAAAAAATAAAATTATCTCATCTAAGCCTGATCTGTTTCTAATTCTGCTAATCCTCAGCAGAGAGGTGAGGTCCTTTCCTGGTTTGGGAAGGACCGTGCCAGTGGGCTGCTGGGGTCTGTGCACGTGCAGTGCTGGGTCTTTGTAACAATCACGTGGTTCCTTCCCATCACTGAGCACAGCTCACCGCAGGCTGGGCAGCTGTGCCGGCGTTCTCTCCAGTGGTCACTACAGCTGTGGGAAGTTGGTTTTATCTTCAGTGTATAGCTGAGAGAAGGGAGGCTTACGGAAGTTAAGGAACTACTAGCCCAAGGGCACAGAGCTAGTTGGTGGAGAGGTGGGACTTCCCCCTGTGTTGTCTAACTGATGATTCCTACTTCAGCTCACACAGCTCTTCGGGCTCTGGATCTCGGCAAAGAGCATCAGGATGAGTAACAGAAGGAACATTGGACGAGGTCTAAAGACCAGGGCTCACTTTCTAGTTCCAGTGCCTGGTTAGCTGTGTGACCTAAGTCACTTAGCATCTTGCAGTCTGTGTTGTTGTTCGAAATGTGCAGGATGATGTGAGATTTAAACTGTAGTCGGTATATGAGTATGACCGAGGATTCATTTATCCTGTTTCCTAGTTCCTGTTTTGTTGTAGAATTAGTGAAAATCCATCATATCACCTTTTGGTCACAGAGGTGTTCATAAAACATCATTGGATTTTGTGGAATTGGGAATGAGATTGTTTCCCCCATCTCTGCTGATGCTACAGTGACTGGATTGTCAAAGCTTGGAAGTGCATGGGCGTGTGAAGTGTCCCTGCCTGCTTTTGGCACTGGGGAAAGGTGTCAGGTAGTGTGGACCCAGGCAGATGTAGCACATCGTTTTAGATAGAAAAATATTACCTGTGTGCATTCCAGATACTCCATGAATTGAATGAACTTGAGTAGAGAATGCCTAAATTGTTCATGTTAAGCTCTGAATCTGGTCTCTATCTCTGAAGAATTCTGTAAGAGTAGAGTTAAAAACAAAAACAAGAATGCCATTTACATTAAAGGGGCATCACTTATTCAGATGAGGAGAGCAGAAATTTCTAAGCTCCAGCTTACACAGCCTGATTCCCTACTCTAATTTCAAGAATCCAGCTAAAGCTTCTACTGACTCAAGGAATTGTTGCTTCTCCTAAAAAGTTGCTTCAAATGCCTTCTGCGTTTGCTCACTTGCTTCTAGCTAGTCTTGTAAAAAAATAGTAAAGAAGACCAACTTTGGATATTAAATATATACATAAAGAATAATTAATGAAGGCCTATGAACTTAGCACCTTGCTTGAGACATAGTTAAAGCTGCCATCCCCCTCTCCCCGTCATGTACGCTCCAGTGGTAGCACCAGCCTGAAACTTGACGTCTGTCACTCCTGTGTATTTCTTTACACTTTTCCTGCATAGGTGTGTCTGCCTAAAGGATATATGGCATTGTTCTGCATGTTTGAAGATTTTATATAAATAGAAAAATACTGAAGTATTCCTCTGCCCTTTTGATTTTTTCCTTCAAAGTGAGAATGTTTTTGAGGGTTATTCATATTGATTCAGATAGTTCTAGTCCATTCACTTTCACTGTTGTATGAAATTCCACTGTATGAATACACCGTGTCTTAGTTGAAGCTGGTAAAACAAAGCACCACAGACTAGATGGCTTATCAACAGCATGAATTTACTTCTCACAGTTCTGGAAGCTGGAAAGTCTGAGATCACAGTGTCAGTATGGCTGGGTTCTGGTGAGAGCTCTCCTCTGGGTGGCACACTGCTGATTTCTCCTTTTATCCTTACGTGGAGGTAGAGGAAAGAACGTGAGCTAACTCTCTGGGTTCTTCTGATAAGCGTGTACTCCCATTTTTTAAAAATGTTTGTTTATTCTTGACCGAGAGAGCAAGCTTGGGGGAGGGGCAGAGAGAGAGGGAGACAGAGGATCTGAAGCGAGCTCTGCACTGACAGCCCAGAGCCCAGTGCAGGGCTGGATCTCATGAACCGTGAGATGGACCTGAGCCGAGATCAAGAGTCAGACACTTAACCGACTGCAACACCCAGGCACCCCAACTATTCCAATTCTTAAGGGCTCTCTGTCTTCATGACCTAATTATCTCCAAAAGCCTCCCTCCCCCTCCACTCCCACAAATGCCACCACCCTGGGAATTAGATTTCAACACAGGAGTTATTTGAGCGTTCCCATTGCTTTTCACCCTGGCTCCCAGCTATCAGTACTGCGTAGGACGGAGGAAAAGTACAGGGCGATGAGCAGTTAGATCAACTGCAGACTCGAAATTGTCCTTAAAGAAAAGGACCAGGGTTGGCGGAATAAAATCCAAACTCCTTACCAGGGCGCACACAGCCCTGCCTCATCTGGCTTCCTCTTACCTGGCCACTGTCTCCGGCCTCCCCTTCCCTCCCCTCGTTCAGGGTGGCCTTTTTTCTAGGACTGGAACATACAGGCAGACTCATTCCCACCTCAGAACTCGATGTTCTGTCTGCCTAGCTCGCTGCATGACTGGTTTCTCCTCAGCCTTTATATATCAGCCCTTCCGAGGGGCCTCCTCCAACCACACAATATGCAGCAGGCCCCCCCCCCCCCCCCCCCCCCGGCCCCCCCCCCCCCCCCCCGTTTGCCTTCCTAATTACCCCAAGGCTCTCATTCACATTACTCTGTGGTGGGTTGTTTTGTTTTTTTCATTGTATGTATCACAATTTGAAATTACTTACTTTTGTGTCTCTCACCGGAACGTAAATGCCCTCCCTGAGGAGAGGGAAATATGGTTTTAAGTTTTGTACCATTAGTGCTTGGCACCAAGTCGTCATTTAATAGATGTTTATTAAGCAGATGAACAAATAAGTAGGTGGAGTGAATTCCAGACCTGGAATGAAAACCTGGTTTGTTAAGATGTTCGATTTGTATACACAGAGTGCCAGCTCTGCGTCTGACGGATATTTGTAACCCGTGGCAGCGCAGGGGCAGAGAAAACCAGGTTTTCCACAGACTGTTGAGATAAGAACCAGACTTTGAATGAGGCACCGTTAGTCTGTCCTCAACCTGCACGATCAGGCGCGGATGGGGCAGCGACCAGACACCCCAAATTCTGCTCCACACCTGTGTGTATCCCCGGTAGAGATTTCACTGTGTGTATTCATTCAGCGTTTGTCAAGCGTTTAGATGTTTTCTGCAAACAAAGGGGCAAGCAGCAGCGTGTTGTCACTTTGCTTCATAGTTTAACACAGAGGACGCGTCTGTGTTATTCGGACAGTGACTCAGTTGAGCATCATCTCTGAAGAATCCGGATAGAAGCTGCACTGTTGCCTTCCTATCCTGGGGCCGGTCCTGAGAGAGGTGTGTAAAGAGTGGATGCGACCTGCAGTGTTGTTTTCTTCACAGAGTCCGGTGTGCATTGTCGACCACTGGGTCACCATGAGGTGTGACAGGGAAGCTTCAGTGGTTCTCTTTCTGGCTTTGGACACACACATAGTGTATTTTTTCTTAATTTTTTTAAATGTTTTATTTATTTCTGAGAGAGAGAGAGAGAGACAGCGTGAACAGGGGAGGGTCAGAGAGAGAGGGAGTCACAGACTGAAACAGGCTCCAGGCTCTGAGCTGGCAGTCAGCACAGAGCCCGACGCGGGGCTCGAACCCACGAACTGCGGGATCATGACCTGAGCTGAAGTCGGACGCTTAACCGAATGAGCCACCCAGGCGCCCCATACAGCTAGTGTTTTTATCACCTGCTTTTGATTTGCCAGTTTGGCTCAAATCCGGGTATTCCTAATGTCTGGATTTCACTCTGTGTTATGGGGGGAAACAGGAAAGACAGTCCCCATTGCTTCTCAGACTCTTGGCTCAGTCTCTTGGCTAAGATACTACTGTTATAATATCCAATAAGACACTGTCTCCAAGGAAGAGTGTAAAATTTGAAGAGGGTTATCTTTTCTTTTTTAAAATGTTTAACATTTATTTATTTTTGAGAGACAGAGCATGAGCAGAGGAGGGCAGAGAGAGAGGGAGACAAAGAATCCAAAGTAGGCTCCAAGCTCCAGGCTCCAAGCTGTCAGCCCGGAGCCTGACGCGGGGCCCAAACCCTTGAACCACGAGATCATGACCTGAGCTGAAGTTGGCCGCGTAACTGATTGAGCCACCTAGGCGCCGGGGATTATCTTTTCATTATAGATTGTCCTGTGCCAACTTTAGCAAGGGGATTGGGGGAGGTGTCTTTGAAACCATTTAACTCATTTCATATTACCTCAATTGTATTTATGTTCCTTAAAATTATTTTATTTTACTGTGCTGAATATATTCCTGAAAGATTCCATACCTTATGTCTGGAATAAGGTAGACAATAAAATGTATACACACAATATTTGTTGTCTTATATGAAAATGAAACAATAGAATATTCATAATAAATTAATTTGAATTAAAATCTATTTTTTAAAATCTTGTGTATTATCTAACATGGAGGAGAATGCAATGCATTTCTGTGTTTTTAAAAAATTATTAAGCATAACATTTGCTTATAAATATGTGATTGGCATCCCACATGTTACCAGTTTTTAATATACTTTTAAAGAAGCAACATCGGGGGGCCTGGGTGGCTCAACCAGTTAAGCATCCAACTTCGGCTCAGGTCATGATCTCATGGTTCGTGAGTTCGAGCTCCGTGTCGGGCTCCATGCTGACAGCCAGCTCAGAGCCTGGAGCCTGTTTCATTCTGTATCTCCCTCCCTCTCTGACCCTCCCCTGCTCATGCTCGCTCGCTCTCTCTATCTCTTTCTCGGAAATGAATAAAACATTAAGGAAGCAACATCAATTTCTTTATTACATGAAATTACATTTTTAAAGTAAACATAATTTGTTTTGAGAGAGAGCATGAGCAGAGAAAGGGGCAGAAGAAGAAAGAGAATCTTAAGCAGGCTCCACACTCCACATGGAGCCCAACGTGGGACTCATTCACACCACCCTGAGATCATGACTTGAGCTGAAATCAAAAGTCAAGCGCTCAACCGACTGAGCCACCGAGGTGCCCCTAAAGTAAAAATAATTTTACATAACATTCCGTCACTAAACATGAAGCAACATGGTAAAAGATGCCATCCCATTACCTCTCCAGTCTCCAATTAACCAAGGCTGTATTCAGTATCCACTATGGGTTCAGCACCCCAAAATACTTCTTACTGTCATACAAAAACAGATTCAGTTAAGGCTCTGTTGTGATTGCTGTGTGTTGTACTTTTTTGTGCTATTTTTCTGGAGCTAGGTGGATACATATTATTTCAATTAGTTTAATATTTGTCTCACTTGATAGAAACTGAAAGTTCACTCAGTGAAAAGAAAGAGGGGAAAAGGCAAAAAGTAAGAAAGAAGGAGAGAGAGAGAGACATCTAACATGAGTCTAGGCACCTCTGTTGACTTCCCAGGGAGAAGCTTGCTAGGTGGGAGAGAAGCGGCAGCCTGGCTCAGGCAGGAGGGGTGTGCGTGGGGTAAATGGCACTTTGTGACCCCGCGCTCCTGTGTGAGGCCTTAGCCCATCCCCAAGAGCCCCTGCCTCTCACTTTGGTGCTGTTGGCTTCATGGCTTCCTGAGATTCCTTCGCTTCCAGATTTCCCAAAAGCCAGCAGGGGCTCTCCTTGACCTTCCCTTCCTGAGCCTCCCTGCTCTCTGTCCTCCTGACAAAACTCTAACCCATATTGGACGCTTATGCCGATTTGCTCATTCCCTGGCATCCTGAAAAGTGAGTCATTTAGTTTTCCAACTCCGAATGTAAGCCGGTGATGACTCAGGATGTGTTCTCAATTTATAATAGGGCATATTTCTTGGTATTTCCTAGTCCTTACACTTTCTTGAAGTCTCTCACAGCCCTTCCCGAAGTAACAAAACAAATGAAGGCGCCAGCATTAGTTAAATGTTTTCATTTATTATACCTGCTATTGTTCTTACTGTATCTTGTTTTACACCGGAATTGTGACAAAGGGCAATTAGTCTTAGAGTTAGTGAAGAAAGGTACGAAGGTTGCTTTAGTTTTTCCCAAACCTGGCTGGAGGGAAAATTCGCACATCCTTCAAGTTTGTGAAACAGGCGTCGAATCTTTATTAAATTGGCCAGCAGAAGAAGGTCATCCTCATTCAGGTATCGGAGAACGGGAATCTCCTCGGGGTGAGGTAGCTTTTCAGCAAAGAGAAAGAGAAGGGAAGTCAGGGTCCATCTGTGAAAGGCGGGAGGTGGGAGGCGGCGTGTGCTGGTACTAATTTGGAGTTGGAATCCCTCGAGTCTCATTAGCTACAGAAGGAGGCAATGGCGGTATTACTCTCATCTGGAGGAGGAATGGGCTGGAATGCTGTGGAGAGTTGAGAGACCAGAACAGGCCAGAGCAATAGAATTTAGATACTTCCAAGTGCTTACAATTTATTTGAGTAATTTATGAGGGGGGCACAAAGATGCCGCACAGTCCTGTCCCCGGAGATCCCCCGGGGGGAGGACATGGTCCGAGCTGGACTGGAGCTAGGAAGGCTCTGGGGGGGTGGCCTTCCTCAGACATGGTAGCACCCGAGCTGAGTTTTCAAGAAGGACCGGGATCGCTAAAATTCCTTTCCTTCTAGAACGTGCCCTACCACAGGAGGCCATTCCGCGTTAATCTCTCCATGACCCTTCCATTGCCTTTGCCCATCCCTTCTTCACAGCCTTTGGTGATTCAGGCTGATGCCGCGTCCTTGCGGCTGCTGCAGGAAGGGGAATGCCTCTGTCGGGACTGTCTTGCCTGAGTGTTTCCAGGGTGTGGATTCAGGGCCGGCTTCAGTGGGGTGGGCTAAATACAAGCTCAACTACTACCTTCTGCGAGCAGTGACCACTTACCTGCAAGAGACACAAGAACTGACAGCATTTTCATCCCTCTCTGCATCAGAAGGTAAAGAGGGAGGGAGGGAGGAAGGGAGAAAGCGAGGGACAGAATAATAGGAATGGACCAGCATTTTTAATTTCCCTTCAATCCCAATTCCATAAGATGACAGAAAACGTTTTAAGAGAGTAAAGCAATAATGGCTCTAGGGAACAGGAAAGATTTTGGGGCGCCTGGGTGGCCCAGTTGGTTAAGCGTCCGACTTCCACTTAGGTCATGATCTTGTGGTTTGTGAGTTTGAGCCCTGCATGAAGCTCTGTGCTGACAGCTCAGAGCTTGGAGCCTGCTTCGGATTCTGTGTCTCCTGCTCTCTGCTCCTCCCCCACTCATGCTGTCTGTCCCTCTCTCTCAAAAATAAATAAACATAAAAAATTTTTTAATAAAAAAATAAGGAAATAGGAAAGACTTTGATCAGCAGGAATAATCTTACTGTATTCCTGAAAATCATAAAGCAGACAGGACCATATCCATAGAGAGATAAATGGCCAAATGAAACCACTAACCCAAACACACACATTCTGAGATCAAAGTTAATAAAAGTGAGAAGCAGAAGGGGCCCTGAGGTAAATATTAGGATGACCAGTTGGTAGACAGCCCCTCACCTCACCCTCCGCGTTGAACCATGACGCCCCCAGGCTGGGGCTGGAAGTCCGGCACTGGGGCCAGCCTTCTACCCCTCAACTGTACATACCACTTTCCCACAGTCCCCACAAACAAACTTCAGTAAGCAGAAGATGTCGGGAGGCCAGGATTCTCAAATACAAAATGAACACACGGCCAGGAATCACCAAATATCTGAGGAAAATTGAGGCCATGAAAGAGAAGCCAGGTTTACCTATTAGGGGTAATACTCAAGGAGACAGCATTAGTAGCCAGCAGGAGGCTTTGGGATATATATGATTAAATTTTATGAGGGATTTGAGAGAATTATTGCTGTCAAAGAGAAGAAATAACTAGAGGACTTGGAAATTAATTGTATGCATACAGAAAAGATGTGTTAACATAATTTTAGAGTGACCATTAAAATGCAGTGTATTAAAAGATCGAGTCTAATAGGTTGAGGAAAACAACAAAATCCAGTTATATACTGTTTGCAAGAGACACATCTAAAACTATAAAAACACTGAAAATCAAAGAATGAAAAAAAATGTACCAAGCAAATGCTAACTAAAAAGAATGCAGGTGTGGCAATTTAACATAATGTAGAATAGCATTTAAGGCAAAGGTCACTCACTAGTAGGGAAACTGGGAATAATTCCTATTTATATGTTACCATTTATTTTTGCTAAAAAGAAAAACCTTCACTGATAACACTGAGTCACATAATGGACACAGCTGAAGAGCAAATAAGTGAGGTGGAAGATGGAGCTGGTGAGAGGCAGGAAATACAGCCCACCAAGAAGAGGGTCAGCATCTTTACTTTCCTAACCTATGTTTATAAAACTATAGAAAGTAAAACCTGATAGAAATAGTGAGAAAAATGAACAAGTCCACAGTCCTATTTCATACATTTCTCAGAACTAAGCCAATGATATAAAAAGGATAGAGAAGTGGGAATGGAACAATTAGACATGTACAAGCTTGTGACAACAGTACACTTTTTGGGGGTCAAATATACCTGGAACAGTCACAAAAATTATGTAATCAGCTCAAAATAAAATATCAATACATTTTGAACAGCAGGGGGGAAAACGTGCAAGCCATACTCCTTGGTTGTTTATAAATGAACAAGAAAAGGATAGTAAATTTGAATATTTGAAAATTCAATAACTATGGAGTTGAAGAAACCAAAATAGATAGGGCAAACTACTTAGAAGTGAGAGAAAATCGGAGCACTCCATATGGCCCAAGACGCACAGAGGGTAGGGTGGAGGTGGGGAGGAGGTGCTACTAGTTTGGATTGGGTGGTGGAGAGAAGACTCTGAGCAGAAACCTGAAGGAAGTGGGGAAGCAGCTAGGTGCTAAATAGGGGAGGAATATTTTAGGTTGCAGGAATAGCAAGTCCAAAAGCCCTGTGGCGGGGGCATGCCTGGTATTGTCGAGGAACAGTGAGAAGGCCAGTGTGGCTGGAGCATGGTGAGGGAGGAGAGAACAGTACAGAGGGAACATTAAAAGAAGGAAATCCAAAGCATGTGCAGGATTGCAGGTCTCTTCTAGAACCTTGGCTTTTACTCTGAGTAGGATTAGAAGCCATTGGATAGTTTGGACCAGGATTTTGTTTTCAAAGTATCACTCATGCCCTTTTTGACAGCACGTATACTCAAATTGGAACAAGACAGAGAAGATTAGTACATGAGCTGTACAAGGATGGTACCTATTGTGTTAGATAGACTCTGGGAAGACCAGAAGCAGGGAGACTCATTAGGAAGCTACTGTGATAACTTAAACAAGAGATGGACTAGGCACCAGAGGCAGACAAGATAGATAGTACTGGCGGATGTGAGAAGAGTTGGAGCCTGGATGTGTATTGTAGATAGGGTTGATAGAGCCTGCAGGGAACAGGTGCGCTGCTGTGAAACAGAGGGGCAGTGCTGCTCCAGAGTGGCCTGAGCAACTGACAGGATACAGTTGCTGGGGTGCCAGCGTGGCTCAGTCGGTTAAGCATCGGACTCTTAATTTCGGCTCAGATCATGATCTTGGGATCCAGCCCTGCATTGGGTTCCACATTCATAGAGTGAAACCTGCTTTGGATTCTCTCTCTCTCTGCTCCTCCCCCTGGTGTGCACACACTCTCTCTCAAGATAAGTAAACTTAAAAAAAAAAAAATACAGATGCGATTTTCTTTTCTTTTTTTTTTTAATGTTTTATTTATTTCTGAGAGTGAGCGTGAGACAGCGTGAGCAGGGGAGGGTCAGAGAGAGAGGGAGACACAGACTCTGAAATAGGCTCCAGGCTCTGAGCTGGCAGTCAGCACAGAGCCCGACGCGGGGCTCGAACCCACGAACTGCGAGATCATGACCTAAGCGAAAGTCGGACGCTTAACCGACTAAGCCACCCAGGCGCCCCACAGATGCGATTTTCTGATGGAGGAGACTGAGGGTGGAGCAAGCTTTGAAATGGAATATTGCTAAGTTTTTCATGCCCTCTTAGACACATACATGGAGATACAGGGTTAGAATCAGAGATGTGAAGGTTAGAAGTTCATGGGAGATAAAATGAGAGGGTCATCAACATGCAGATGATATTTCAGGACAGGAGATTCCATGAGATCATCCACAGAGTGGGTACAGATAAAGATGAGTCTCAGGATATGGCCTGGAGCCTCTTAATATTTAGAAAATGGGGAGGTGATGAAAGTCAGCAAAGAAAAATGAGAAGGTCACTGAGGTGGAACGAAAATCAAAGGAAAGCAGGGTCCTGGAAGTAAAGCAAGAAATGCTTCCAAGAGGAGGAAGTGAGGAACTGTCCAGGGTCCCTGGGAGGTCACCTGGTGTAGCAGAAATGAGCTCCAGTGCATATGAAATGTTATGTAGCAACTAAAAATGAAATAGACAAATATGCTTGGAAATGCAGACATGCAAAAACCTTTAATACCCATTAAGTGGACAACAAAAACTAATACAATCCCCCCAACAATATAAGCAACATGATCCAATTTTTATTTTAAAAAAGATACGTCTGAATAATGAAGAGAAAGACATACCAGATTTTGAGTGATGATTACCTTTGGAAAAAGGGTTAGAATTAACAAAAGGATGAAAAAGGAATCTCTCTTCTACTCCAGTTCTGTATTGGGTGAATCTTCAAATATGAGAATGTATTTATTTTTCAGTTTTTAAAAACCTAAAGAAAGGGTGATCGTGATGACAGTGAGAAATGGAAAAACTTCTGACATTGAATCGTGTGTGTGTGTGTCAAAATGACTCATTAAAATTCATTTCTAAGGAACGAGCGGGGGAGAGAGAACATCTTTTACATGTTTGGTAAGAATGCATTTACCATGAATGTAATGTACTAGAAGAAGGCTATCTTGTAAACGTCTAACTAAGAAAGAAGCTTGGCTGGAGCCCAAACAGCTGACTGTGGTAGCCGGACTGATGGGGAGGGGCAGAAATAGTGCTGAGCACCTTGGAGACCCCTCAGTCCCTGTTGGCGGAATCTGAAGTCTTCTTTCTGTTTGGTGTTTATGAGATATGCCTGCCTGTGCTGAATATTGCGGTCATATATCCACTTACCTAAAAGTGTGGAATTTTCAGAGGTTGACAACACCTTTGAAGTCTGGAGCAATCTCTTCCTTTAATCATTGGTGAAACAAAGGGCCTCAGAATTGAAGGGGCGTGTTCGGAGCCACACACTAGATATACTACATAGACCTCTCCCTTTTGTTTAATATATATTTTTGAATGTTTATTTTTGAGAGCGAGAGCATGCAAGCATGCACCAGTGGGAGAGAGGCAGAGAGAGAGAAAGAGGGAGAGAGAGGGAGAGAGGGAGAGAGAGATAGGATCCCAGTCTCTTCACTGACTGCAAAAACCCTGATGTGGGGCTCCAATGCAGAAATTGCAAGATCATGACCTGAGCTGAAGTCGGATGTTTAACCGACTAAGCCACCCAGGTTCCCCCATAGATCTCTATCTCTGTCTCTGTATCTATATATACATTTCAACTTTATTGAGGTATAATTAACAGAGAGAGCTATCATTTACTGAGTACTTAGTGTCAAGCACCACGCTAAGTACTTTGCATTCCCCTTGAATCTTCACAGCCATCTATTTGGTAGGAATCATTATCTACATCTAATAGATGAGGGCAGTGAAGTTCAAGTTCACCCACTAAGCTAAGTGGCAACGTTGAGGTATGAAACGACATCCCTGTAACCTGAAGGCCATGTTATTAACCATTGCCAGTCACTGAGAGTGTACTCTCAGCTGTGCCCTGGGTGGGACAGGGGAATCAGTAAGGCAGAGATTTTGTGCTTCTGGAGCTTACCATCCAGTGGAAAAGGCAGCCATCAGGGCAGAGAAGGCAGCATGGTTCAGCAAACATAGGGACCAAGGACAGTACATGGATGACCCAGAGAAGGCCATGGTGGACCCTGATTGGGCAAAGGACTAGGAGGTCTGGGAAGCATCTCTAAGGAGATGGGACTCACGTATGGTCTTGAACATGGTGAGAACCCAGGTCTCCTGACTCCATCCAGGGCTTTCTTCTATAGCACAGTGGAAAAATAAACAAAACCCTAAAACCAACCCCCCAAAGCAACACTCCCTGGTTTCAGAGTAAACACAGTAAATGTTAGTTGGATCTAAGTCTGAACTAAAAGGAATTTCTGAAGAACAAACCATAAGGCCGCCTCATTTCCACATGAAATTTTCACTCTGGGTTTTTTTCATTGAATTCCAAAAGTCTTAGTAGATGGTAGATTATTACACACAAGTATAATCTGAGTAATAACACTAACAAGAGCCATTTACTCTTATTATTCTAGATGCTTTGAACAATTTTCAAAAATGTACCTACCTTCACTTTGGTCCCAACACCGATTCTTGCCTGTTGGCCCATTGCTAGAAAAGTGATTGAAATCTTGTCTTGTTCTAGGATGCGAACTCCAATGTAATGATTCAAAGCCAGAAAGACAGGTTTAAATGAAACAAAGGGTGAGGAAGCCACAGAACTGGACCAATTCCAAGCCCTTATTCTGTTGCCAGCTTGATCTGAATATTGACCTCCCAAGATATTGATGTATACGCTGGACAGAAAGGAAATTAAAAATTATAAAGGATAACATTATAATTCAACCTTGAAATTAGCCCTGTCACTGGCTCACCAAGGGGAGCCGCAGTTCCTGCTAGCCAGCAGGGTACAGAGAGTGCAAAACTGCAGGTCATCTTTGGCGTGGAATACTGTGAATGAATTTTATACTAATTTGAAGTAGTGGATCCAAACTGGGTCCAAAATACGGACCCAGGATGGTAAAGGGGTCTGGAAAACTCTGTGCTGGGAAGAATGAAGAGGGAGCAGGGAAGGTTTAGTCTGGACAAGCAGACATACAGGAGACCAGGCTATCCCTGAAAGAGAGGAGAAGACCAGTGCTTGGGTTTTCCCGAGGACGAAATGAAGACCAGCAGGTGGAAGTCTTGGGGAAGGCCTAATTGGCCTCAGGATAGGACAGCTGTGTTCTCATAGCACCCAGCAACTGGGAGCCCAGAGCCCTTCCCGAGCGGCTCTTGTCAGGGCACGAGTGGCTCAGGGAACATCTCTGAGATGGCTCAGAGTACTGCTGAAGGGCCCTGTGATGGAGCACAAGGTGGAAGTGAGACTAATGGGGCCTTTGCAATCTCTTAGCACAGCTGATGCTACATTTTACGTCATTACCTACATATCAAGCCCTCCCAGTGTGGGATCTGGTGGCCCTAATGGCTGCCCTTCTACCTAGTTATCTCCTCCGCATACTCTCTCACCTTCTTCCAACTTGGATCACCATCCCTTTCTTTTTTTAATGTTTTTTCTTTATTTTTGAGAGAGAGAGAGAGAGAGAGAGAGACAGACAGACAGACAGACAGAATCCAAAGACAGGCTCCAGACTCTGAGTTGGCTGTCAGCACAGAACCCGACCCGGGGCTCAAACCCACGAACTGTGAAATCATGACCTGAGCTGAAGTTGGACGCTTAACCGACTGAGCCACCCAGATGCTGCACCATCCCTTTCTTGAGGAGAAGGAATAGGTAGAGTTCTGGGTATTTAGAGAGTTGGCTGAATTTGATAATAAATTATTCTTTTTTTAACAAGATGAATTGGCCATGAGGGCCCCTAGAGTAATATAACTGACATCTTCTTTCCCCACTATTGATTAGTGGTGGTAATCTAATAACAAAAGTAAAAATGAGAAATTGAGGTAATTACTGTATCTGGGAAGAGGAAGACTTGGTTTCATCTTGAAATGTGGATGAAAATAATATTTGGCTAAAATTAGATAGATTGTTCATTTGATAAACATTCTGTGAGTGCAGATATATGTTGGTAGCAGTAAAGATTCAGAATGTGGCTTCAAAGAACATGGATCTAGGGGCACCTGGATGGCTCAGTTGGTTAAGCATCTGACTTCAGCTCAGGTCATGGTCTCGTTGTTTGTGAGTTCAAGCCCCATATGGGGCTCTGTGCTGACAGCTCAGAGCCTGGATCCTACTTTGGATTTTATGTCTCCCTCTCTCTGTGTCTCTCCCCTGATCACACTCTATCTCTCTCTCACAAATAAATATTAAAAGAATAAAAATTTTTTAAAAATGAAGTTAGAACCCAAATTACAATTTTCAGGGTGAATGAAATAATGTAAAGTCGTGGAGTATATAAGTTAGTAGGTCAAAATTGTATCAGGATCTTAATTTCTCTAGAGATTTTGTATGTTATTGTTGTTGGTTGTGACTATAGGAATATAGGCATAGTTACAAATATATTTCAAATTATAGTAACACACACACACACATATACACACACAAACTATAACAACACAGTGTAGCAGCTATCCATTGTAAATTATTTTCATAAATGAGTCAATATAACATTATCAGGGCATAGGCTCTAGGAAGACCACTGGATTCATACCCCAAGTCCTTAGGGTGAGCATATAATTTATTGGGAGATTTTTTTTCTAATATTGAAATAATATAGCTCATGTTTCTTGGTGTTTATAGAAAGAATATGATGAGCTTTCTTTTACATAGTTTCCTGGGATTTTTCCACTGAGAAGCAAATGGAATGACTTAAATAAAAATTTCTCTGAGTCAAACATTACTACCGAAGACTAACTTAAATAAATCTTAAAGCCATTTTTATCATTTAAAAAGAAAGCTTCTGTTTAAAAGATGGATAAGTTCTAGGGATTTAATGTATGGCATAAAGATTATAGTTAATAATACTGTATATATACTTGAAAGTTGCTAAGAGAATGTATCCTAAATGTTCTTAACACAAAAAAGAAGTGGTAATTATGTGACATGAAGGAGATGTTAGCTAATGCAATGGGATAATCATTTTGCATTATATGAAGTATATCAAATTGACACATTTCATGTCTTTAATTTACACAATGTTGTATGTCAATTATATCTCAATAGAATTGGAAAAAAGAAAAGAAAAAAGTAAAATTTCATAGCCTCCCCCTCCCCCCAAATGGCACGAAGAAAAACTTAGAAGCCTACCAGACATTTCCATTGGGATGATAGCAGGAACTTCTACCAGAAGAGTCTAGCAATGCTAGGATTGCAGGGTCAGTGGGCATATCTTCTTGGACTATGCAAGTGAAGCCACGTATTTTGTTGGGGATTCGGATGATGGCTAGATTTCCAGATGGGTAGCTGAGATTAGATAAGGTTATTTGCGTTGTTCTAATGGTCCTTAGTTATTCTGGGAATAAATTTAGTTTATTAGCGAGCCCTTTGAAACCATTTTAGAATGGGAGCTACTCTTAATACAAAAATGATTTTATGCTTTTTATGGGATCAAAGTATATTTACAAGACACAAAAATCCACAACAAAATACTGGCAAATGGAATCCAGTGACATATACAAAGGATTATATAGTATGATAAAGAGGAATTTATCCCAGGAGTGCAAGGTTGGCTTAACATCTAAAAATCCATCAGTGAAATATACCGATAGAATAAAAAGCCAAAAAAAAAAAAAAAAAGATCATCTCAATATACACAGAAAAAGCATTTGACAAAATCTAACCCCTTTTCATGATAAACAACTCAATAAACTAGGAAGAAAAGAGAGACTCCTTAATCTAATAGAATGTCTAACAAAAACCCACAGTTAACATTACACTTAATGGTGAAAGACTGATTTACCCCTAAGAGCAGGAACTAAACAAAAATGTCCATTCTCCCTACTTCTATTCAATATTACACTGAAGGTTCTAACCAGGGAAATATTATGCAAGAAAAGGAAATGAAAGGTATCTATATTGGAAATGAAAGATATAAAATTATCTCTATTTGCAGATGATATGGTCTTGTATTTAGAAAATCTTAAAGAATCCGCAAAATAATATATTAGAACTAACAAACAAGTTCAGCAGGATTGTAGGCTACAAGACCAATACATAAAAATAAATTGTATTTCTATATACTAGCAGTGAACATTCTGAAAGTGTAATTAAGAAAATAATTCCATTGACAATAGCATCAGAAAGAATAAATTCTACTGAGGATAATTTACTAGCTGTTAATACTCAGTCCTATCTAAACTGATCATAAGCCTGGAGGTGAAGTAAACACAAGATTGACTCTGAATCGTTTTGAAAAATAGTCATGGTCTTCAAGAGAATTAAGAATTAAGCCAAGGCATTAAATGATAATAATAAAAGATAAGGGAAGTTACTTAAAATGTACTGATATAATTAAAACAAAACTTATACTCTTTCTCATAGGGCCTACAAACTAAAACTTCACTATACTTTCTGTGACCTCAAAGTCATTTTTCTGATTGATTATTGGAATTTGACTAAACTTTTAGGAAACTATGACTAAACATGACTTTCTCCTAAAAATTAGAGCCTTCGGTCACCAAAAAGCCCTCTTCATTTTATAGTTTTGTTTGTTTTTTACTTTTCTTGAGGCATTAAATAGCCTTTATGTCAAAATAACAAATGGTTTGGCCATCAGGCAGAAGTTCAAGTGATGAATAACTTAGTATTCCATAAAATGGATATTGAATTTTTGTATTAGAAAATAATGTGTTGCTCACAGATGTGTGAATTGATATACATTTTCTGGGGGACTATCAAAGCTTGAAAATGTCTGTAATTTTTTTAATAATTCACTCAGATTTCTTTAGGGGGGTGTGTGTGTGTGTGTGTGTGTGTGTGTGTGTTTAAGTAAGCTCTACATCCAATGTGGGGCTTGAACTCACATCCCGGAGATATACTCAAATGCTCTACTGATTGGGCCAGCCAGGTGCTCCAAATATCTGTAATTTCTTACCCAGAATTTCTACCCTTAGGCATCTAGGCATTTAATTCAAGGAAATAAATGATAAGTATGCAAAGAAGTCTACACAGAGGTGTTCATTTAGCAGATAAATATATAATAGCAAAAAAAAGTGAAATCACCTTTGTGGTTAGGTTACATGAATTATAATACATCCCTATCATTAAATACCTTATGGTTATAAAAATGGTGTATATATTTATTGCATATTATATACTCATAACATTATTATATAATATTATGTAAGGAGGGAAAGTTATAAAATATGAATAACTAGTTGAAAAACTGATTTTTAAAGAATTATATAGGTACACCTGGGTGGCTTAGTCATTTTAGTATTTGACTTTGACTCAGATCATGATCTCATAGCTTGTGGGTTCAAGCTCCATGTCAGGCTCTGTGCTGACAGCTCAGAACCTGGAGGCTGCTTTAGATTCTGTGTCTCTCTCACTCTGCCCCTCCCCCACTTGTGCTCCGTCTCTCTCTTTCTCTCAAAAATAAATAAATAAAAATTTTAAAAATTATTTATATATATATATGCTCATAGAAGTAAGGGAAGTTTTAGACAAAGATGTTAACAGCTTTACTTTGGGTGGTGGGATTTGGGGTAACACCTATTTTTTCCTTTATAGTTTTCTATATATGTTTCCTTTTTCTTTTTTGTGAAGAAATAAAACTAATAAAAATAACTTGTTGAAAGGATACAATATTTGTGTTGTTCCATCTGGAAACGAAGTCAGAAACTTGCTTCCATGTTTGTAGTGCTTCTCTAAGAGCTCATTCTTCATGATCTGTACACCATGGAAAACGAAAGGACCCTCAATCATTAATTGTTCCAGATATAATGCATCAATTATGATAGTAACAGGCATCCTTTGCTTGCCAGACAGTGATACAAACTTGTCTTTTAATTTAAATTTTTGGGGGATGCCTGGATGGCTGAGTTGATTAAGTGTCTGATTTGGCTCAGGTCTTGACCTCGGAGTTCATCGGTTCGAGCCCCATGTCTGGCTCTGTGCTGACAGGTTGGAGCCTGGAGCCTGCTTTGGATTCTGCGTCTCCCTCCCTCTGCCACTCTCCTACTCACACTCTGTCTGTCTCCCTCAAAAATAAAATAAACATCAAAAAAAGTTTTTTAAATAAATAAATTTTTGGCCCTGCAATGGTGATTAGGAATCATTAAAGATTATTCCTACCCCCTGCAGATAACTTGATAAAAGCTTTCAGGCAGAGATCTGACATTATATATCTTTTTGAATTTTTAAAAAAATGTTTATCTTATTCACATTTTATTATAAAAACAAAACAGGAGATTAAAAAAATCAGCTCTAGCCCAATGAAAGGATTCAGTATACTGATTATAGTAGTGGTTACATAGCTGCCAAAATTCATAGAGCTGTACATCTGAAAAAAGTGAATATTACTGTATATAAATTATACTTGAACAGACTGCAGTTGCATTGGATGTGTAAGTCAATTTGATATTTAATTTTTCCATGAATATTAGGTCAAATTTATTACATGAGTTGTTCAAATATTCTATTGTATTACTACTTTTTTAAAAAATTGAATAGCCCTTGCAATTTTTGAGAGGTAGGCTAAAATATCCCATTACATTATGGATTTTTAAATTTTTCCTTTAGTGCAATTTTGCTTTACATATTTTGAGCCTATCTTAATATGGGAAAAATATTTTATAATGTTATATCTTCCTGGAGGATTAAAACATTTATCATTATGAAGAAATCTTCTTTATCTCTAGTAATACTCTTTGGTATTTTCATGATATATCATTTTTATTTATAATCTCCTTGTATCCTTATATTTTAGATGTATCTCTTATAAACTATATAGTTAGAATTTTTTTCCTTAAAAAAGAACTAATCTGACATTCTTTGTCTATTAACTGGAGTATTTAGTCTATTTACATATAATTACTGACATTCCTTGGTATTTTCTATTTGTTCCCTGTTATGTGCTTTTTTTCCCCTTATGCATTTTTGTCTTTTTTGGGGGGGTAATTAAAATATATCATATTTTTTTGTTCTAGCTCTACACATTTGGAACTTATACTCTCTGCTTCTGTTATTTTTTCTGGCTACCCTAGAAATTTCAGCAAGTAAACTTAATTTATCCAAATCTGAAGTTAAGCTTTCATATTTGCCTTTCTCCCAAACCAAGGGCCTTACAGCACTATAATTACATTTAACCTTCTTCCCATCATGTACTATTTTGAAATGTATAATTTATTCTTTTCCGTTTTTTGAAATGCCATAAGCTATTATTACTGTCATTTATTAGTCAACTTTCAGTTTTATCCATATATACTATGTACCACTTTCTTTTCATATTTCTTGAATCTCAGACCATCCAATGACACAAAGCACATTCTTTAGGATTTCCTTTAATGAAGGGTTACTAGTGACAAATTATCTTTGGCTTTACCAGACAGTGTTTTGGGGGTGGCACATTTTCTTGAAAAATATTTTAGCTGGTTATCGACTTCTGGATTGACCACTATTTTTTTTAAGAACACTGAAGACATTCCACTGTTTTCTGGCTTCCATTGTTGCTGTTGGGAGGTTATCCGACAGTCTTTCTCTTTTTTTTAATGCTTTATTTATTATTTTTTGAGGTGGGGGGAAGACAGAGTGTGAGCAGGGGAGGGGCAGAGAGAGAGGGAGACAGATATTCTGAAGCAGGCTCCAGGCTCCGAGCTGTCAGCAAAGAGTCCGATGTGGGGCTTGAACCCACAAACCATGAGATCATGATCTGGGCCAAAGTCGGACACTTAACTGACTGAGCCACCCAGGCGCCCCTCTTAACTCTTTTCCTTTAAATATAAACAGAACTTCTTTTTCTCTGCTGCTTTTAAGATTTTTTTCCTTTGGTATTCTACAGTTTGTTAATATTGAAATATTAACAATGATTTTGGGGAAGTGCTTGAGGCTTTTGGTGATATTTCTCCACTTCTTTTTAGTTTTTAAGGGCTCCAAACAGTCTTTAATGTACATCAATCACATTTTAAAATAAAAACGTTTTAACCAAAATAGCCTATCATAAAACATGTAAAAGTATTGTTTTAATGTCTAGTAGAAGTTAAAAAGCCACATCTGTACCATTTCATCTTGACAAAGAGTTAAATGTGTCATGTAGCCAACCTGTTCTATTCATTCTGACAGTTTTTACAACTTTAGGTAAAACTGATTTTAAAGAGTCACAAGTAAAAATAATAACAAGATAATTACCTTTCCACATGCTATTCTAGCATCACAACAAACAATGGATATGTTTCTCTTTTCTAGTTGGAAATCAAGTAGTCTGTCATCAAATATCTCCTTTTTTGGAATATCCACGGAAAGTTGATAAGATATTGTTCTTAAGTGCTTTGGCTCTAATCGGAAGAGAATCACATGTTTGTTTTAAATTTTCCAAAACCTCTCTTCTAAAATGAAATTTCAAACCTTATTACAAATGTATTGTTTCATCAGCCTTTTGTTAATGGCAGAAAAATGAGGTTTTTCATTAAATTAAAGTGAGTGTCTTCTTTTGTTAAAAAATAAAAACATTCCCTTGTTAAGTGAAGAAGGATGATTTTCATTAAGTGGAATTTTCTGGCCTAATGTTTAGTAGGAAGTAGTTGAATATGAAAGAACTTTATACCAAGGATTTAGTTTAAGCCAAAACAAATGTATTTCTTTTCTAAGTATCTTTTCTTTCTTTTTAATTTTTATGTTTATTTTGAGACAGTGTGTGGAATGGGCAGAGAGAGAGAGAGAGAGAGGGAGAATCACAAGCAGGCTCTGCACTGTCATTGGGAGCCCGATACAGGGCTCAAACTCATGAACCATGAGATCATGGCCTGAGCTCAAATCAAGAGCCAGCCACTTACCGACTGAGCCACCTAAGCACACCTCTTAAGTATCTTTTCAATAGCTCTGAGTGGTAGAGGAGGAGCCTCATTCTCAGAAAGATGAAGTATTTTACCCCAAATTGTACAGCCTATAAGGAGAAAAGCAGCTACATAAATCAAGAACTTGATTCCAAAAATCAGTGCTCTTTTCCATTTCACCCACACTATAGCCATACTGGTCCATATATGAAGAAAGTAATCCGATTTATTTTTGACGGATTTTTCCATATCCCAGCTGGAAAACAGAAGGGAATGTGTGCTTAATGAAACGGGAGACAATTAATTCAATAAGCTCTTTTCAGCTATCTGTAAAGTATTCTATAGATGTTGCTAATTTATTTCAGTCAATAGCAATAGTAAGCTGAGGACTAAAAACTTTAAAAGGCAGATGACTGAAACACCAGACTTTCTGAGCCATTTTAATGGATGCATTGACTGAAATGAACATTTTAAATATTATTTTTTTAAATACCAATTTTAGCTTTTGGTCATATATCTGAGCTTTCTGATGTACAACTGATCTATAACATCAGCTTTGAGGAACTCACCATCTTCAGGTATGTTAGGCTGTTCATTTGTTATTAGTGCAAATTGTCTGGACATTTGTAGCTCCTGTTTTCTACAAAATTAAAAAATATATGCTATATAAATCTGAAATGTATTTGAAGCTTAAAACAGAATTTTAGTACAAATTTTTAATGTTTAAACACCATCCCTTATTATTTTTATCTATTATTATTTGTGAATCCAGGCATTGAATCCATACATATGTTTCTACTCTCTTTTGGCAACAAATTTCTCCAATATGGGAATTCTAAATTGCCTTTGGAATTTGCAATTGATAAATTTCTACTTTATTTTATTTTTATTTTCTTAAATGTTTCTTTTGGGAGGAGCGAAAGCATGAGTAGGGGAGGGGCAGAGAGAAGGAGGGAGCAAGGGAGAGAATCCCTGGCAGGCTCTATACTCAGCATACAGCCTGACACAGGGCTCTATCCCACAACCGTGAGATCACGACCCCAGCCCAAATCAAGAGTCAGACACATAACTGAATGAGCCAACCAGGCACCCTGGTAAATTTCTACTTTAAACTGGTGAGTTTCCAGAGTTTCTGGGAGCTTATGAATCTCAATAACATCTACCAGGAGTTTTATTTTATTTTTGTTTAACAAAGTAATCTTAAAATTTATTTGAGGGGCGCCCGGGTGGCTTAGTCGGTTAAGCGTCCGACTTTCGCTCAGGTCATGATCTCGCGGTTCGTGGGTTCGAGCCCCGCGTCGGGCTCTGTGCTGACTGCCAGCTCAGAGCCTGGAGCCTGTTTCAGAGTCTGTCACTCCCTCTCTCTCTGACCCTCCCCTGCTCATGCTGTCTCTCTCTCTCTCTCTCTCCTCGAAATAAATAAATAAAACATTTAAAAAAAAATTTATTTGAGAGAGAGAGAGAGCAGGCTGGAGTTGGGGAGAGGGACAACAGGAGAGAGGTAGAATCTTAAGCAGGCTCCATGGTCAGCTTGGAGCCCGATGTGGGGCTCGACCCTGTGACTCTGGAATCATGACATTAGCTGAAATCAAGAGTCTAATGCTCAACCAACTGAGCCACCCAGGCACCCCCATCAGGAATTTTGATAGGTTTGCTTTGGTCAATTTTGATTTCATTACTGAGAACACATTTTCAAAATTAAATATTTTGAAAAAACAGCGTTCATTTACAAAAAGCTCTCTACTTAAGCTGGACTGGGTTTCAATATCAAAGGCTCAATGTTACCTCCTCAAGGCTTTCTCCTTTGCCTTGAGTCTATCTACGTCACTGCCATGGGCTGCATGAGGATCAATACAGATTAATTCAGCTTTAGGGGTTTGGGCTTTTTGTTTTTCCTGATAAATGTAGTCAATCAGATTTTGACAGTAACTACAACAGGAGACCTGAAAAACAAAGAGGTCATTTTTATCTCATCGGTCCTAGATGAAGATAATTACAGGGGGAAAAAATGGCTAATGAAATTTGGATAACAATCTATGGTAGCTTTTTCCTGGTTACAGCTTTATTTAGATAGAATTCACACACCATACAATTCATCCATTTCAAATGTACTAGTCAATGGTTTTTAGTGTGTTCACAGAGCTGTCAAAACCTTATCTGTGGCCAACTTTTAGCACATGAACTCTTACCCGTTAACCCTCCCCAACTCTCCCCTCAGTCCCTGGAAACCACTAATCTAAATTCTGTCTGCATAGATTTGCCTGTTCTATGTAGCTCATCTATGTGGAATCATATAACTGTGGTACTTTGTGATTGTCTTCTTTTGCTTAGCATAATGTTTTCAAGGTTCATCTGTGCTGTAGCATATATCAGTACTTCATTTCTTTTTATGGTTAAATAATATTCCATTGTATGGATACATCTCATTTATTTACCCATTCATCAGTTGATGGATTTTGAGGTTGTTTTCACTTCTGGCTGTTATAAATCATGTTACTATGAACATTTGTGTATAAGTTTTTGTATAGGTATATGTTGTCAATTCTCTGAGTATATATGTTGAGTAAATATCTAGAAGTATAATTGCTGGGCTATAGGTAACTATGTCTCTAACTTTTTGGGGAATTGCCAGACAGTCTCTCAAAGTGGCTCCACCATATCACATTCCCCTTTCCCAGTATATGAGAGTACCAGTTTCTCCACATCCTTGCCAACACTTGTTATTATCTGTCTTTTTGATTATAGCCATCATAGTGGGCATGAAATGGTATCCCACTGTGATGATGATTTGCATTTCCCCAACAGCTAACACGTAACTCTTAAGAAATGCGGTGCAGGGGAGAAAATACTTCATATGTTTAAAAATAACACCATTTCCTCAGTGAACCTGCATTAGAACTCACATCTCCTATTGGTTCAGAGCTATCATCATCACAGTAAACATCCATAATGGAAAGAAATGATCTTAGATCGCTTCCACAAAATTCACATGTGGGCGATATCTCCTCCTCTTCTTCCTTCAGAAAGAGGAAAATAAAAATGAATTCATGCCCACAAGGAGGCCCAGAGCCCCTGGGAGCGTAGATGTTGCTGGGGTTCTGGGCAGGGCCAGCAAATATCCAATGGGAGAGCAGGGGTGGTGGGCTCATGTGCCAACCTGCTTGAGGACTCCTGTCAGAATCCCTGGGGGCCCTTTGAACTAGCTGTGGATTCTCACAGTGTCTCCTCATTGCAAGAAGGAAGTTTCACAAAGGGCTTTACTATTGACATCAGAGTTCCTTGTGCGGGAGGGGCGCTACAGCGTGTAACTAGATGCAAGAGACAAAGGATAATGCATTAACCCCAGGTTGGGGTTGGGGCTCTGGATTCTTCTGACTGTACTGTGAAGGTAATTCAGAAGCGGTGTGGGGGAGACCAGGGGAAGCAGCAGGACACAGAGGAGTTAGGGGATCAAGGGCTGGTGCACTATGGCCATGTTTATGCTCTGAGTTCACAACTGTGACTGCAGGGATTCCTGGGCAGGCAGGCAACTTTAGTGCAGGCCTCCAGGAAAAACCCACATCGTGTAGGACTTGCAGGTCATGAACACTACCAAGCCAGCTGTATTTGCCATTCTCTGGGACTAGCAAAATGGCCACTGTGGGGCCAAAGGGTGGCGAGGTGGCCATTGCAGCCAGGCATTCACCACTAGAGTGATGGCCAATATCTTGAGGCTGCCAAAACTACCCAATGGTAAGTACTGCACATTGCTGAGAGCAGAACCCTTGGAGAGTAAACAGAAGTGGTGACACATCTAGTTTGTTGCCTAAGTAACAAAGCAGGGAGAGAGAGAATATAGCAATGGCAGGCCGCCTACAACCCTTCCATATCAGGGTCTTGCTAATGAGCTCCTAAGCCCTTGGTCCCTTCACCCCTTCTCCCGTTCACTTGTGGGGAAAGCAAGGTGGAGATTCTTCCAATGACCATGAGTCATTGAGTGGGGCTGGGGTCTGTACCTGAGGACAGTATAGCTGGAGAGGAGACCTGACAAGCCGGTACTGCTGCCCCTGAACTACACTCGTGTCAAAGCCCCATCTAGGTGGACCTGAAGGATCCACCCAACATCCAGGAGAAGCCAGCCCTGCCAATGCGGGGACAACTCCCTGGAAGAAAGGCTACAAGGCTTTCCTTATGTTTAGGACCATCTCTGGGTGTCAGCAGAAGAAAACTCGAGAAACTTCCTTGGGTACAAACTTCTGTGGTTCAGAAAGGAGGAGCTAGGTTTGAATAAAAGGATTTTAGCCTGAAGAGTCTATAGGGTAATCATAAAGTTGAGAAACCTGGACAAATATAAAGAGTAAATATTGACTGATATCACATGACATATTTAGTGTGTCACCCCTTATTAGATTTGCATAGTTTAATGTGCGGTGCAAAGCAGCAATGAGCCGTGTGTTAGTGTGTCCACACAACGTTCCCATCAACCCTGTATACACATCCGTGGTGTGCTGCCTAACAAAATTGATGGCTCTTATTTCCAGTGAATAAGCCTGCACCTTTAGTGGGCCAAAAAGAAATAAGGCGGTGCCACTCTAGGGCGCATGCTGCTCTCTCCATATGGCCAGGTCATCTGAGTTTGGAAATAATCTTACCACCAATCAGTCCCCTACTGCTCTGGTGCAGCGGGGCAGTGTCCTGTCCTGTTGGAATTATTAAGGTAGCCTTTCCTTAGCTCATCAAGCACAGGCATAAATCAGTCACTTAAGATGATCTAGTATGGCAAACATCCACCTGCGTTTCCTGGCTTTATGGCCACTGTTATGGGTCAAATTGTGTCCCCTGAAAAGATAGGTTGAAGTTCTAACCCCTGGTACCTGTGAATGGGGCCATATTTAGAAATGGGTCTTTGCAGATGCAATCAAGTGAAGATGAAGTCATTAGTCATAATATAAGTGGTGTCCTTGGTTGGAGAAGAGGGACATCTGGAAACAGAAGCAGAGAATGCCAGGACAGCTGAAGCAGAGATCAGAGTGGAGTAGCCGCAAGCCAAGGAAGGCCAAGGGTTGATGGCCACACTGGAAGCTAGGAAGAGGCAAGGAAGGACTCTCCCCTATTGGCTGGACTCACTGACATATTTATTTTGAACCTCTAGCCTTCAGAACCACAAGACAACAAGTTTCTGAGGCTTTAAGTCACCTAGTTTATGGGACGCTGATATAGCAGCCCCAGGAAATGAACACAGCCACCCTAAGTGCTATTCCATATACATGAGCTCTTCATGTATTTTTTAATAAGTGTGTTCCCAGTCTTCTGTGCAAATCATCATGTAGCTTATTACATCATTTATTAATAACATTTTAAAATTAAAAAATAATATAAGTTAAAATCACCTTGAAGTTAAGGCCTACATTGGAACTCTCTCGTTTGAATGTCAGAATGGATGGTGGCCCAACGCTAGGCAATGTTTTCAGAGCTGGCTCAAACAGTGTCATGAAGTCTTCTTTAAACTATATTTTTAAAAAGAGAGAGAAAATTGACTTTTGAATAAGTGGTATTTACAATGAACTCTGTGCGCTATTGGACTGAAACATTTCTTACCTCCAGCTCACATAAAACATTCAGTTTTTGCTGTTGTGGATCAATTACCCATTTTTCTGCAGAGAAAAGCATCCATTTAGAAAGAAAGTTTAAAACCTTTGTACAGTGTATTCCATTTTCTCCTAGCCTGCTTCCCTGTCTCTCTCTCTCTCTCTCTCTCTCTCTCTCACACACACACACACACACACACACACTAGTTTAAAAGCCCTGAAACCTTTTTTACCACCTTGTTGAGCATATTCTTAGGAAAGGGCTTTTCAAGAAGGGGGTGGGTACAGTAGCCTGAGTTAAGGCTGGTTTACCTTTGCTAGCAGAGGAAAGGACTCTAAATATCTATTTACCTCTTAACTTAGAAGCCAAATTTTCATGTTTGGTTTCCTTAATTCCAGAGGATGTTTTCTTCCCTGTAAAACAAGTGTACATTTGTCATCAATCCCAACAGAGTAGGAAAGAAGCTTAATACAAAAGAAAACATGCCTTTTGGAAAAATAAGTACCCTTATTTGTGTTTGTTTGACCTTTTACTTTTTTGCCCTTTCCAAATAACATTTTATCAACAATAAGGAACAGGGGAAAGTCACCACTGATGTATCATATTGAAAAAGGTTTCCCTGTTCCTTTCTAGTCCTAGCATACTACAGAGATGCCTGCATCACTTGACTATAAATATTGTTTGCAGACTCTTGTTTTCTGCTTTTTTTTTTTCCAGTTTATTAATTTTGAGAGAGAGCGCGTGTGCAAGTACAGTGAGGGAGGGGCAGAGAGTGAGGAGAGATAATCTGAAGCAAGCTCCGCACTGGCAACGCAGAACCTGATGCAGGGCTGATATCATGAACCGTGAGATCATGACCTGTGCCTAAATCAAGACCAACTGAGCCACCCAGGCACCCCATTTTCTGTTGTTTTGAAAGTACTGTATCGTCTACCTTATATCTGTTAGTCCATAAAGGAGTTTTCAGGTAGAAGGGTGCTAGAGGTTCTAGTTCAAGACAGTGAACTCAACCATGAGGATTATTTCCGCCACAGACTCCAGGGCAGTATTGGAAATGGGGGAGGTGGACATCAGCAACTTAGGCTAACCATCTAGAAGATTTAAGCTAATAGAATTGGAATGATGAAAACCAATGAGATCAACCTACAATGGGGCAGAGGTAAAGGGAGGGGGCTGGCCCACTTCCTCACAGAGCCATGGGCAGCAAGAACTGCTCGTAGAGAAAGAGGTGGGCTTCAGAAAGTGATGTACTTCCTATGTGGAATATCTGACAAGTTTTTAAGTATGTTTTAGGCATTTTGTCCAACAGAAATACCAGCACAGGTATAAAAAAAGCACAGGTTTTTATTAAGGCATTATTTGTTATAGGGAAGAGCTCAAAACATCAAACCAACTCTGAAATATCTAGCAATCAGTTTCATTACATAAGCCACAGTAACTGTATATAAGGGAATATTGTGCAGTTGTTTCATTGAATTAGATCAATCTTTCCTGACATGGAAAGATGTCCATAATACACTGCTATGTAAAACAATTAAAGAGATAAAGTTGCCATTACTTACAGGAGATAGAATTGTTTTGTAGACTTCCAACTTACAAACTATTAGAATAAGAAATTTCAGCAAGGGGGTTAGATACAAGATTAATATATAGAAATCAATAATTTTCCTATTCATTGACAATAATCAATTAGTAAATATAACAGGAAAAAAGTTTCCAATTGTTACATCAATATAAGACTATAAAATACTCAAGAATAAATTAGTAAGTGCTGCATTAGTCCTATGTGGCCGGGGGGGGGGGGGGGGGAAAGGGGGGGGGGAAACTATGAACGAAGATCTGAAAGAAATGGAGAGGTACACTAGGGTCCTGCTGTTATAGGAATAAAACCAAGCGGCCATCAGAGGTGGTCCTAATGCCTTCTTTGGTGGCCCCAGAAAGCAAACTGAAATCTGAGCCAGAATCAATTTCTGTAAATGCCTCAGGTTAGGAACAGACAGCCAAGCAGGCTTTCCCAAGTAATACAACCCCTTAAGCTATAGCCAATCAAAAATTGTCCTTGTTTTGTTCTGGTGTCTTTGTAAAAATCCCTCCTTGCTGTTGTCTGGGGAGCACTCCTACCTATTTGCAGTTTGGCACTGCTCCATTCCGTTCATGTTTGCTCCAATGTAGAAACCTGGAAATACCTGTTTTTCTTTTAACACTGCTAAGCAAGGGCGACAAATGAACTTGTCAAATTCCATTGACACACCCCATCAGAATTCTACTGACTGTGTAGATTAGTTTGGGATTTATTAACATCTTAATATTTGGTCCATTTTTATGTTGGATTTTGTCACTCTACTCTGCAAATCCTCACGGGTCTTTCTACTTCATTCCCATTGAAAAAGATTTGGTCTTCAGGTGTTCCTTTGACCTTATTCCCCCGTCAGATTCTCCTCTTGACTATTTTACTGCAGCCACACAAACTGCCTCCTTGTTCTAGGAGGAGGCGCCTGCTAGTCCATGTGCCTGCAATAATCTTTCCCCAAGATCATCCTGGCTCACACTCTCATGTCCTTGAGGTCTTTGCACAAATATTTTAGCTTCTCAGTGAAGATTCCCCTGAGCACCCTGTGTAAATTTGTACCCCTCCCAACCAACACTTTCCATCCTTTCCTCTGCGTTTCCTCCTTAGCACTTAATTATATATATATATACATATATAATGTATATATATTACATATATTATCACCTAATTATATATAATACATATTTCCTTATTTTCCTTATTTCCTATCTCTTTTACCATCACCTCCACCTTCCACACTTTAATGCCCGATCACAGGGACCGGTGTTTTCAATTTTTTTTTTCATTGCCATTTCCCTAGAACAGGGTTTGGACTATGATGGTTGCTTGGCGTGTGCTAGGTGCTCAGTAAGCATCTGATGAATAAGTGACATAAAACAAATATAAAAGTTAACGGGAAAGGCTATTCATAATTACTTATACAGGGATAGATTAAAATTTTAATTTTTGTATTATCTATCTCAATGGTTGCTACTTAGACTACAGCACGCATGTTACTACTTTGATAAAAAGTGAAAATATGTATCAAAATAGAACGGCAGCTTTTTTTTGATGTGAACATTAAACATTAGCATTTATTACAGACCAAGGGCCAAAGAGTTTAGATATTTAATCTCATTTTGCTCTTTATAACAATTCTGTGACATAAGTATTATTATTATTACTGACATGGGAAGAACCTGAGATTCTGGGAGGCTATCATCTCCGTGTCAGTTTGGGTCATGCTGGGATTCAAAGCTGGCTCTCCCTGGCGCCTCCAGCCATGCTCTTTCCAATGTGCCATCCCATCTCCGAGCAAAAGCTAAGAAATCACACTACTTACTTGGCTTCCTACTTTTGCCAGATAATTCTTGAAGCCAGCTTTCTTCCGTTTGTACTGACATTGGAATTCCTGGATACAAACTGTGATACATGGTCCTGAAGTTTAGACAAAATGTTAGCTGTGAGTATGCCTATTTAGTTGTTAGCACCACTTCCAAATACAGAATGTTTAACAATCAAATAATGCACATACATAGAAGATCCTGGTTTCTATTTTCTTTGAAATGTTTTCCTCCATTCTTCTCTCTCAGTAAAGTTGGGCACAGTGTGTTTGCATCATAGGGAAAGTACTCCTTTCTACGTCCCAAAGGCTCCCAATACCATATTTTTCTCCCCAGTGAATAAATTACTACGACTATGTCTGTGCATGTATGTGCATGTATGTGCATGTATGGTGGTGGTGCATGTATGGTATGGTGTGTGTTTAAACATTTACCTGTATTTAAATGAAACATATTATTCATTTTATTTTTATTTATTTTTAAGATTTATTTAAGTAATCTCTACATGCAAAGTGGTGTTCAAACTCACAACCTTGAGTTTAAGAGCTCTGTGTTCCTCCAACTAAACCAGTCAGATGACCCAATAAACAGCTGAAAAATGACCCAAACTTCTTTTTTTAAAAAAGGGTTGAAGTTAAATGCATTGTAATCAACAATTTGTAGTATTTGTATTCTTTCTACAAGTAGTTCAGTTACTTGAGTTATTGACATGATAGCAAGGCAGAAATGTATTGACTTTTACTAGTTAAAATGATTATTACTGATAACAAGTAAATAATAACTAGTGCTTCAAGTTCCTTCACCTCTTTGAATTTCAATTCTTTTCTAATAATTTGCTGATCTTCTAAAATTATCAGGTTTTATCAAATGATTGAGTCAATTTTAGGGCTGTCACTTTTTCACCTTTCTTAGTACTGTCTCCATCTTTTCTGATGCTTTTGTTCCTTGACACATTGCATCAGTCGGGTGCTTTAATTCCAAAATGACTGTGTCTTGTAAGAAGTGAAGAACGACTCGGCTGAAGCCACTTGTGCAAGTCTCTGAGGGAGTCCTGTTTGTCTAACCTCCCAGAGAAACAAGTTATAGGGACCAAGTGTAAAAAAGAATATTAAGGAGCAATCCCTAGACAATGTTTAACAATTGGCCTTTTTTCCAATTCAGTGGTTAACAAAACAGACCTACATTGTTCATCTGGGTCTCTCTGTCTTCCTTACACCAACACCAAAGGTTGTTTCTGAAATTCTGTGGAAAGATGGCAGATGGCAGAGGCTGACAAAATTAACATCTCCTGAGGACTGACTATGTAGTGGTACATTCATAGTGGTTGCTTTAGTCACATGATTTCATTGATATTAACAAAGACTAATCAAGGCATGTATGGATATTCTCTCCTCTACACGTAAGGAAACTGAGGCTCTAGGGAACCTCTGAGGAATTGTATTGCAGTAGATGCAAATGGGACCTGGACCTGTTTGGCTTCAGAACCCGTGTTTTTCCGCATTTATCTGCCACATATAGTTGGCCCCATTTTCAACCAGAATAGTAATGGGGCAATAAAACATAGAAGGTGAGCCAATATTGATTGCATTTTAGGACTTTAAAGGACAAATTTCCTTAAAAACACAATCTCACCAAATTCACCAGAGAATGCTTTTTTAAAAAAATTTTTACCATTTATTCATTTTCGAGAATGAGAGAGACAGAGCATGAATGGGGGAGGGGCAGAGAGAGTGGGAGATGCAGAATCCAAAGCAGGCTCCAGGCTCCGAGCTGTCAGCACAAAGCCCTACACGGGACTCGAACTCACGGACCGTGAGATCATGACCAGAGCTGAAGTTGGATGCTCAACCAACTGAGCCACCCAGGTGCCCCATGAGAACGCTTTAAAATATAAAAGAAGCATTTTCTTAGGAAGATTTAAGAGGAGAAATTAAGAATTTGATCTAGTTAAAGAGAGGCTCCCATATAATAGGAGGTCCAGGTCAGGATAGCAGTTGAGCACGCAATTCTCCTTCCCTTCCTTTCCAAGATCTTACTGAAATAATAAGGACAAACAAACAAATAAAAATAGCCCTGGAAAATAAGTAAGGTGTCATCGGTAGACAAGTAATATTGAAGTCCCTCAAGAATGACAATAAATGGCTTTAGTTTGATGGAAAACCAGAGTGGAGAACACCACAGTTCAAGGCAAGAGAGGTAAGTAAGTTTCTTCTGGGAAGACCCTAACTCAGACTCAACCAAATGCAGAGAGGAGAGGGCTGGAGACTGCCATCAGTGGAGTTCAAGGAGTCACCTCAGAGCACCTGGCCAGGGAGCTGTTCTTTTCATTTCCAGATAAAGCCCCCAAAACTGCTTCCTACAAGGAGTGGACAGTCTGTCTTGGGAGTTGGTAGGTCTGAAAGAAAAGCAGAGCACAGAATGAGGTTACGCGGAACCTGCCCAGTAGGCTTGGATGAGAAAGGAGGAAAGGGCATCCCACCCAGAAGTGAAATGGGTGAAGAGCTCCAACCACACAATGGTGTCCTTATCCTAACCCTAGTAATAGTGGGGTATCCATCTTGCCTGCTTCCTACCAATGCTCCACAAGCTGACATTCCCCATTCACCCACTAGGACTCACAGCCAGCCTTCCAGGCACGCCCTCTTAGGAACTGCTCAGCTGCAGAAGGACTCCATTCGGATTACCTACCGGCTCATTCATTTATAAATACAAATTGATAACCAAGGATTACCAGTTACTTAAGGGCAGTCAATAGCATAGAAGAGAAAGATCAAGATAAACAGAACTAATTCTGAAAAGAAAAGAAGCACTTCAAAGAACAAAAAAGAACGTTAGTATAAGAGCACCCTTAAAAGAGATTTAAAAACAACTATTTGAACAGCAACAAGAACAGGTTCTTGGAAATTACAAATATGAGTACCGAAACAAAAATTTTTGTACAAGGGCTGCATATTATAAATACAAAAAATCTTGATATCCAAGAGGGCCAATAGCCATCTGGTAGGAGTTCTGGAGAAAAGAAGACACATGAAGGGGCGGAAATAAATATCAGAAGTATTTGAGAATCAGATTGATCAGCAATACTAGATACTAGAAGGCAAAGAAGCAATGTCTGCAGAGCGCTGAGGAAAATGGTTTTAAATGTATTCTTTTATGCCGCGTTATGTTATTAATTAAGTGTGAGGGTAAAAATGAAGAAATCTCCAGACAGGAAAAAACTCAGAAATCTGACTACCCCTGAGATCTACATGAAATAATTACCCAAGGACTTTCTCCAGCAAAGAGAAAACGAATGAAAGAAAGAAAGTAGTACGGGAATCAGGAAAGTGTGGCCCTTTAACCCAACTCAGGAAAGCTGAAGGCATTAAAACCTGAGAGTTGAAAAGTTCTCCTTTTAGGAGCCAAGTTTTACAGACATAGGATTCTGGGCTTTTTGTGCAGAATCCAATCATATTGTTGGATTTCTTAGTATGAAATTGTGAGTATTGTTGATTGATTTTCCTTTCCAGAATTAATCTGTACTGAGTTAATTATGATTATAAAACTTAATACAAACATAAACTTGGCAAAGTAATATGACTTTATATGAATATATATTCATATAGTTTGTTATAAGATGTACATCATTTGCTGTTAATTGGGAGAAGAAAGGATGAGAGGAGAGATAGAGGGAGGTAGAAGTGCATTAATGTGTTTATTCCTCATAATAGAGTTAATACAAGTTGTTAAACTTGATAAATTAGATAGTAGAGGTTTAAATACTTTGAAGTCCTAAAGGCTAAAAAAACTAAAAATAACATAACTACCAAAAATGAAGAAGGACATAGTGTGTTATATTCCTCATCTTTCATAATTATGTCAAAAACTGATAAATTGGGGAATTAAAATATACTAAAAAATAAAATAAAATATGCTATTTAAGATTATATTGGAAGGGTGCCTGGCTGGCAAAGTCAGTAGAGCATGCAACTCTTGATCTTGGGGTTGTGAATTAGAGCCCCATGTTGGGTGTAGAGATTACTTAAAAATAAAATCTTTAAGATAAATAAATAAAAATAAAATTAGAAACAAACTGTTAACAATATGTTAACCCTGGTGGATGGGAGTGTGGGTGTAAAGAAAAGCATGCATGGAATTTTTTCATTTTATACCTTTGTATACTTTAATATTGTAACCATGAGCATATATTATTTTTATTATAATGTTGAATTAAAAGGATAAATAAAAACATAAGAGTGGGACAGAACAATCCTCCTTATGGTTAGGAATTTAAACATTGCTTGTAAAGGCAATGCTTAGGTGAATAGTAATTCAAGAGCATGGACGTAGGTTTTTAAAGATTTATAAAGATGTTCCAAAAGGTATTTCTCAGGTATCTTTCTGTTCTTGGAGGCCAATAGCAATAACAAGAAGAAAGAGAGAGAGGGGGAAAAAATAAGACCATAATTTCCACTTCCCTTCACAGGAAGTGTATCTAAGCATTGTCTCATTTTGCCAATAGAGATCTATGTCCTAAATGTTCAGGTGTTTGCTATTGTACACGTGCTTATTATTTCATGTTGTATCAAGCGGGCACACCTTCTCTGTATTTAGATGGTCTCTATCCTCAAAGTGTCTAACAGTATAGATTTTTAAAAATCCTTTTTTAAGAAATTGGTTGTAAGTGTCCTGAATTATTTTTACTCTACTTCCAGACATATTTATCCAAGAGGTAAAAGTAAACGTCATCAGCTTAAAAAAATTATATGTAAGCAAAACATTTTCTTACCTATCTAAATTTATTTCAGGTATATCTTTCCTAAATGTCTGAAATATTTTAGGAAAACCTGTTGAATGAAACATTAAAAAATTTAGCCACTCTTTCTAAATCAGTGGTTCTCAAAAGGACAACTTCTGCCCCCCAGGAGACATTTGGCAACTCTGAAGATAGTTTTTTTCTTATCTTTTTCATGGTTGTTTATGTTTTGAGAGAGTGCAAGCCTGAGCATGAGTGGAATGGGCAGAGAGAGTGGGGGACAGAAGATTGGAAGTGGGCTCCGTGGTGACAGCAAAGAGCCGTGTGCGGGCCCTGAACTGACCTGAGCTGAATTCAGATTATGACCTGAGGTCATGACCTGAGCTGAATTCAGATGCGGAACCGACTGAGGTGCCCAGGAGACCCTGAAAACATTTTTGATTGTCCCAAATCAGAGTAGGGGCTCATGGCATAGCCAGGGCTAGAGGCCAGGGACGCTGGTAAACATTCTATAATGCCGGGGACAGATCCCTTCCATATTTTACTCAATAAAAAATGGTCCTGAAAAGGAAATGTCCACACTCTAAATAAAGTGCTCTGTGTCTCTTTTTAAGGAAGTGACTTAAGTGGCTTTAGCTTAGGAACTTAAACACAAAAATGAGGTGTTGTGGGTTTTTTGTTTTTGTTTGTTTGTTTTTTTTGTTTTGTTTTTACAGGGCTGTCTTTGTAGCATAACACCCTGAAAAAAGTGGCATGTTCCTGTGTGTGTTTCTGAGAAAAAGAGAAAGTGTGGATGGGGAAGGTGGGGGGGCGGTAGGGATTGAGAGGAAGAGAGCGGGAGACACAGGGAGAGGGAGGGGGAAGAGAGAGCTAGACAGAGAGAGGGAGACGGTGGAGGGGGAAGGGAAGAGGGAGAGGGGGAGGGGGAAGGAAGAGGGGGGAGNGGGGAGGGGGAAAGGAAGAGGGGTGGAGGGGGAAAGGAAGAGGGGGTAAAGGAAGAGGGGGGAGGGGGAAAGGAAGAGGGGGGAGGGGAAAAGGAAGAGGGGGGAGAGGGAAAGGAAGAGGGGGGTAGGGGGAGGGAGGGAACACGATCCCGGCCTGAATGCACATAGAAGTATTGCAAATGAGCTCGGTAACGCACTGCCCAAGTTTCCCAGTCTCACCAAGTGTTGTACCGATGTCCTAAATCGTGAGCCAACAGAACAGCTCGGCCAAGATTCTAGTGCCTTTGAATAAAGGGGCCGAGATGGACTGGGTTGTGTGTGGAGTGGTGCATGTATTTAGAAACCCGACCCCCGGGTAGACCAAGGCTCTGACGTTGCAGGACCAGCACCAGCGGTCCCTAGGGCCAGGGAAGCCTTAGAGGAAGGGGCGGGCAGGGGCTGTACTTTTCTGGGAGGAGATGCTCAAGTGTGAGCTCAAGATAGGTGTCTCGCTCCACGACAGGCTCGACGTCCCGCTGAAGGTCGTCCAGGTCGGGCTCAGGCTGGGGCTGGCGACGCTGGTTAATCGGGGAAGAAATGCCCTTGTGTTTTCATCATTGCTGTCACCGATGTCCAAAATCTTCCAGAAGTAGTCTTCGCTGAACGTCCCTTGGACCTCCTGAGTCTTGGCGTCCCCTGTCTTCTCCTCGGCTTCCTCCTTCTCCGTCTCTTCCTCTTCCTCCTCTTCCTCCATCGACAACTCCTCTTCTTCCTCCTCCTCTTCTTCCTCTTCCTCCACCTCCTCCTCCACCTCCTCCTCTCTCTCCTCCTTTTCCTCCGGGCCCTCCTCCTTCGCTGGGTTTCTGGAGCCACGACGCGGGCGCGAGTTGGCCATGGCTGGAGGGAAGCGGGGTCGCAGCTAGCGGAGTGGCAGGTGCAGCGGCCAGTCCAAGTCTGGCTGGGAGCGCTGGCTGGTGCGTCCGTCTCCCGTCTCCCGGGGCAACGGCCAGGGCGCACCTCCAAGCGGGGGGGGGATTTAAAGCGGCAGGACTGAATCCGAGGTGTGGGAAGAGCGGCGTCGGGGCAGAGAGCTGCTAAGGAGCCAGGACCTCTGCTAGCCTCTTTCTCATCTCCTTTCTGGGGTCGCAGAGACCCCCTGATAGCATGTGGCGAACTGATCTCCCTTTCCTCTTAGCTCCTTTGGAGCATTTTTGTTTGTTTGCTTGTTTGAGTGTGTGTGTGGGGGGGGGGCTACTAGAGAAGGACGCTGTTAGGTCACTTGGTATTGCTGATGCTGGACTTTGGTTTTCCAGTAGACACATCCTTATTGTAACTTAACGATTAAACTTTATTACAAAACCAGGCACCGGTCATAGTTTGCTGATTTGATATTTTAAAATATTGCCTTAAGTATTTATCTTGATTAGTGAGGTTTTTGATACCCCTTAAATTCTATGTCCCAGATGGGTGTCTCGCTCCAAACCCAGGCGTGCTTGTTGCAAGGCCTGAGACATCTGGCTACCTAGGTAATGCCTGTGTCTTTCTGGACCTTTGTTTTCAGTTCATTGTATTTTGTAAAAATATTTGTATACACACAAAGAGGAACACGGTATAATATATAATGGACATCTGTTTACTTACCACCCAGACTGGAATGTACATCTTCACCGCAGAGTTCAGCTTCTTTTCAAAGCCATCCCAAGACTGGGAAGTGTTCCTGGCGGGAGGGATTGTGTTTCTGCTGTTTGACTTCACCTCTCAGGTAAAGAAAGCAAAGATTCTCTGTAGCTGAGGATATCTGGGTGTTGTAAAAAGAGCCTGGACTGGTCTTACATTAAGTGAACACTATTAGGGCTAGAAGTCTCCTTGTAGGAGCTCTTAAACCACCAGACTTCTTTCAGCTTCAGTTTCCCTCTGTATAAATTGGGAACGGTAATACTTTACCCCTAACTTGCTTGGGGATATCCGTGAATGTGCAATGACAGCCTACAGCTGTCAGTGCATTTCAGCCAGACACCACCAGGAACACGCAAGTAGTTACATAAGTTATCACCTCTTACAGGAAGGTGTCTTAGTGACAGAATGGTAGAAAGAACCTGTAAGGTCAAGGCTTTGGCTAGATGAATTGGGCGATGGTCTAAGCCAGCAGGGTTTTGCTCTAAATTGGATGCTGTCGGCATGGGGGGAAGTCCTCTGATGCAGTATTTGGTGGTGGCACAGTGACCTTATTTTTCTGCTTAGACAAACTTATGAAGTGGCTTTGTTTCCTTTTATCATGCTGTCACTGTGACCTGTGCCTTACTTGTTTGGGCTGCTATAGCAGCCATCAACAGGGTGGCTCATAAACAACAGAAAGTTATTCTCACAGTTCCAGAGGCTGGGAAGAACAAGATCGGGTGGACTCAGTGTCTGCTGAGAATCTGCATCCTGGTTCATACACCTCTGTCTTTTGGCTCTGTCCTCATGTGGCAGAAGGAACAAGGGAACTCCCAAGGGCCCCTATTATATGAGCACTAATCCCATTCGTGGTGACCAAATCACCTCCCAAAGACCCCATCTCTAAATACCATCACAGTGGAAATGAGGTTTCAGCATAAGAACTTTAAGAGGACACATTCAGGCTATAGCATCTTGTCTGAGGTTGATTCTTCAAGAATGGTTCTGTCCAACAAGAAAACCAAAGGGCCTGGCTGTGTCAGACTAGCTTGTAATAATAATGAGATCTAGCTGTGAATATTGGGTCAGTTCTTGGCATCAGGGACTTCCATGTATGAGCTTTCCAGCCTAGAAGACTTGAACTCACAGGACTCTCAAGGAAGCAGGAAGTGAGAGGTTAGGTGTCTGGAATCACTAAGCAATATTTTATGACTGTCCAGTATTTAACAAGCACTATGGGTTAGCTCTTTGCTTGGTGCTGAATATTTGATAGATAGCTCTCAGTTCAGAAAGAAGGCACATGGTCTCTTCAGAAAGCTATTGGTAAGCATTGCTCTCATTCACAGTGAAGGAACAATAGCAAAGAACCACAGCCTTGATGAGGGCTGATGAAGAATGAGCCGGGCTGCATTAGTGGCTTCGGCTTTTCGGGCTGCTATAACAAAACACCACAGACTGGGTGGCTTATAAACAATATAAATTTCTCACAGTTCTAAACACTTGCAAGTCCATGATCGAGGCGGTGACAGATTTGGTGACTGGTAAGAGCCCGCTTCCAGGTTTATAGACCTCTGGATTTTTCGCTCTGTCCTCAGGAGCGGAAGGGGAAGGGGCTCTGTGGGGTCTCTTATAAGAACACAAATCGCATTCACAAAGGCTCTAACCTCAGGACTCAAGCGCCTCCCAAAGGCCCCACCTCCTAATACCATCACATTGGGCTTTATTTAGTATTTCAACATATGGCCTTTTGGGAGCACGCAGCATTCAGACCATAATAATTAGCTATGAGGGGCATCTTTGTAAATGTCAGATCCTCCCCCTCCTTTCCAACAAGCTCCTTTCACAGGATGGTTTCTGAAAGCATGTTTAATGCCTTTTAATCAGCAGTGACATCTACTTTATCTTTCCCTTTAATATTTTATATCAAATGCTCTCCCCTGATTGCTATGCATGCAGCAGAGACTGCCTTGGGAAAGGTGCTGCAGAAAACACTTGTCTCTACCCTAAGTCCCTAAATCCTTCTACTCACTCCTCCCTGACTTCATATCTTCTCACCAATTCTTTTTAGGTCAAGCCTAGCTTTATAGCCCTTTTGACTCCAACCCTTTCAATCTGTAAGCCTAACTCTCTCGTTTCTTGTCTCTGAAGTGTCTCTGCAATTACAGGAAAGGAGACACCCTTCCTTGCTGAAACTAGCCACTCCTGGCCATCCCTCCCCTTCCTGCCTCCTACACAACTTCCCATCCATCCGTTCATTCATTCATTCATTCATTCATTCATTCTCATTTAGTGTACTCAGTAATTCATTCATTCAAAAAATATTTATCGAGTGCATGCTGCATAGTAGGCACTGTTCCAGGCCCGGGGAAGCAGCAGTATACACGGCTTCTGCTCTCACTCATGGTGCTTAAATTGGAGGAGGACCATACAATAAATAGTTTGTCTGAAGGTCTTAAGCACTGTGGACAAACATGAAGTGAACATGTGTGTGTGTGTGGGGGGGGTGCAGAGTTGTGGGCAGAAATAGTTGCTTTTTTATGGAGGTGAGCACAGAAGACCTCTCTAGTAGGGTAATATTTGAGCAGAGGCCTGAGGTAAGTGAGGGAGCTAGTCAGGGGGATCCCTGGAAAGAGGCTGGAGAGTGTTTCCAGCATGGGGGGGAGGGGGCGGTGGAGGGGAGCAGTGTGACTAGAGAGGAGGAAGCAAGTGATCCATTGTGAAGGGCCTTTGGCTTTTCCTCCCAGGAAGATGGGGAGCCATTGGAGGCTTTGAGCAAGGCATGGTTATATTTAGACTAGACTGCTAGACTCATTAGATTATGGTAGAGCCAGATCAGGGAGAATAGATAGGATAGAGGTAAAAGGTTATGATAATGGGCAATATGTTTGAAGTACAGCCCAAGGGCTAAAGAAATACTGCAGGGAATACAGAGATGACTAAGGAAGGCCTCTACTCTTGGGAAGGAGGGAGGGAGGGGAGCTGTGACAAGTCCCCAAATAACTATAATAGAAACTAAAATGAGTAGCCTACTGCCAGACAGGCACAGAGGATGTCTTAGAGCTTGACAAGATTGCTCCTGGGTAGGGATCAAGGGGAGGGGAATCAGGAGACACTCAGGAAGGAGGCAGCCATTATCTGGTATGACCGGGTAGATTATTTCTAACCCAGAGCCCCAGACATGTGAAAAGTAATAATACATGCTTGCTACAGAAAAATCTGGAAATGCAGAAAGAAAAAAACAAAAGGGGGAAAAAAACCTATCCATATTTCTAGCAGCCTGAAACAAATACTATTAACATTTAGAGGTATTTTCTTTCAGTCACCTTTCTCTGTGTATTTGTTTTACATCTTGTGAGTGTACATAATTTTGTATGCTTTCCGTCATTTTAACATGACATTGTAAACTTTCTCATCATTTTTATATGACATCAGGTAGATGTGCCTCAGTTTATTCCCTAATTTTTGCATTCAGTTAGAGAATTACCCAACAAATAATTGATCTCGGTGCCTTAGTTTCAGAGGACACAGCTCGGAGTAAGATTGACAAGGCCCTTGCCTTCATGAAGTTTATATTCTGGAAGGAAGTTACAAGGAGTTAAAGAAGGAAACAAATATATAAGCAATTCTGTCTGTAAGATAGTAAATCAGCACTCCTTTAAGCCACGACGTTTGTGGTGACTTATTACAGCAGCAACAGGAAACCAATATATAAAGCTGTTTCCCCCTCTGGGCTCTTGCCCTCAGCTCTCTGCATCTGTGCTTCCTCCTCATTCAGGTCTGACCTCAAGTGGCGCCTCTTCACAGGGAACCACCCCCAGGCCCTGCATCACATCCTCCTCCTTTATTTTTGCCAAATTCTCCCTTAGAGCCTCTAGAAGGAACCAGCCCTGCCAACATGGCAGACTTTAGCCCCAAAGATTCATCTCTGACTCGTGACCCTGGGGGAAAGGAAAACCTTCTCCTCTCACCTACTGGAGGGGAGAGGGGGAGGGCCAGGTTTTCCCACCGTATCAGCCAGCTAGAGCTGCTATAATAAAATACCACAGACTGGTTGGCCAAAACAACGGAAATTCATTTTCTCACTGTTGGAGAGGCTAGAAGTCATGACCAAGGCGTCAGCAAATTTGGTTTCTAGTGAGAGCCCTCTTCCTGGCTTGCAAATGGCTGCCTCTCTCTGGGTCTTCAGTTGGCCTTTTCCTCCTTGCTGTGTGAGCACAGTGGAGTAGGAGTGGGCTCTCT